ATATATATATATATATATATATATATATATATAATAATCATTCAATAAATTAATCACTAATTTATATATATGTACTATAATTCAGAAGAGAATTGAATAATTGTTTTTTATTCGAATGATAGAATAAGGTTGGAGAAAAAAAACCAGGTGGAATTTTTAAAAGTTTCTTTTCTATTAAAAATTTGAAATAACAGTAGAAAGAAGCGAGTTAATTTCAATTTAAAACTTATGAAGACAAGTTAGAGTTGAGAAAATAAGCTAGTTAAATAGTACTTGAACAAGTTAAGATAACACTTAAAATTTCACTGGTCAAGGTAACTGAATAGAAACAGACATTTGTTAATAAAAAATTGTCTCTAAACGATGCTGCGGAAATGTCTGTAGGGCGTGAAAAAATTTGAAAGAATTGAGGGAAAATTTATTAAATTATTAGGATTACCTTGGGTAAGCAGATCATTACATTGGGTTCGGTCAAAATTACTTGGTGGCATATCCATTGTGAATAGTTGTGGGGTATTTGGTTGGAAAAAATTTTGATGACAATACTGTGATGTAGTTGCAGCAGAAATATATGCAGCATCAGCAGGCATATCTCGAGCTGTAGTTCCGGCTAAACCGAGTAAGCTATGAATACCGAATGACATACCCATACGATTACTGTTTGATACAATTTGCCCAGTAGCTCCACCACCACCACCACCACCGCCACCACCGCTACCACCACCACCACCACTACCACCACCTCCAACACCTCCAATACCTGCAACACCTGCAACACCGACACCACCAGCAGCAACAGCAGCAGCAGCGGTAGCAGCAACACCGGCAAACTGTGGTGATGATGCACACAACATCGCTGTTGATATGTCAACTGACATAACTGCCTCCTAATTCAACAAACAAACTGAAAAATGGCTCTTTAATGCTGGAACAACAACAACAACAAAAAATTTTTTTTTCTGAAAATGCGCAGTTACAGTAGGAAAATGAAAAAAAGAAAGAAGAAAAAAAAAAGACGAGAGAGAAGAAAAGAAAAAAATTTTTTTCCCTCGATTTCTTTTTTATAGAAAAAAAATTTTTTTTTTCCTTTTGGGGGTGGAGTTATCTGCCAGTTTATTAGCCAATCAAAATGGGCATGGCAATTGAAAATGTCAGTTGTATTTTGGTTGCCACTGCTCAAATATATACCAAATAAGCTAAGTAGCATAATTTGCGATAATGGTTGATACATTTTTGGCCAAAAATGAAGGGCAAGAAAGAAAAGAGAAGGCAAAGAAAACATTATATATATATTTATAATATATTTATTTTTTAAAATAAACTATTCTTTTTTTGCATTATTTTTTTATTATTTCTCTTGTCTTCTACAAATTTTTTTTATTACTGTACTTCAGTTTTCTGTAATCTTTTTAAAAGTTCTTTTTTGCTATTGTTGTTGTTTACTTATTTCTTTATTTGCTGTTATAAATACAGCAAAAGATATCAGATTTGGAATGACTAATATTTTGTTGTTTTTGCAAATACTAGCTACTCTGATTTTTTAATATAGTAAACAGAAGTTGATTTTTTTTTGTTTGTCGAGCCTTCAACTGCATTGTCGACGTTTCTTTGGTTAACGACTAACAGTTGGCATACTGTAGTTATTCGATATTTAATGAA